TGGGAGGAATGAGTGTGCAGGTGTGCTTTGCACAGTTGATGTATGTGTGGATTGTGATGAGAGTTGTATGAGCCCCTAATAAAACGATTAAAAAAATAAAAACTGCATGCCAAAAAAAAAACCCCTTGAAAAACAGTACAAATGTGTGAGTACATGTGTGTGTGTGAATGAAATAACGCATCATCGGCAGTTAAGATTCAGAATAAAGTATCATAGTGGTTACTGAGGAGAGTAGTGCATTTAAGCATCACCAATTCATCAAAAGCCTGCAAGTGCTTAAATATTTTAAACATGTCCATTTTGTCCTTGCTTCTTTTTATTACACTTGATGTGGGTTTTGTTGTTTGTTCGTTGTATGTGACAATAAGAATAAAGAAGCAGATATAAATATTTTTTTAAAAGATATGCCTGACCCAACCCATTGATAATTTCCATTGCCTCGTGTGCATCTGTAAGTTGGACATTGAATAAGAAAGACCAAAGAAGAGTAGATGCGTTTGAATTGCAGTGCCAGGGAAGAATATTGGAGTACCATGGACTGCCAGAAGGACGAATAAGTCTGCCTTGGAAGACGTACAGCCAGTGTTCCTTAGAGACTAGGATGGCGAGACTTCATCTTATACAATTTGGACATGTTGTCAGGAAAAACTAGTCCTTGGAGAAGGACATCATGCTTGGTAGAGAAGCAGCAAAAAAGAAGAGTCTCAACCAGATGGATTGACACAGTGGCAGCCACAGTGGGTTCCAGCATAAGGACAATTGTGAGAATGGTACAGGACAGGGCAGTGTTGCATTCTGTTGTGCATAGGGTCACTGTCACTTAGAACCAACTCTGTGACACCTAACACAACAACAAGGCTTGGTCAGGCTATATAATCAAATAATTAAAAGTTATCTGCTTTATGAACTGTATGTGAAATTCCCTTTTGAGGATATTTCTGGTATCCAAGTAAATCTTTTTTTACAAGCTTTCATTCTCTTTGGAAATTTTGGAACAGTTTGAAAGGTTTATAAATTTGTAAGCTTAATTCTTATTCTCTTACACCTAAAGGATAGCAATGGTGTTTTTCAGAACATTAAAATTAGTTCTTGAGAGTGAGAGGAGTTGTTTGAGCTGTTCAGAGTATTATATGACCTTAGGATACCCGGAAAACATCCTCCCCATCCCCCACCCCAGTAGGGAATTAGAAATTGTGCCTTGAAAAAATTTTAAAGTGAGGATTTTCAGCAGTAGAAAATATTCTATTTCTAGAACTCTATTTCCATATTTAAGGAGCCCTGGTAGTGCAGCAGTCAGGTACGTGGCCACTACTAGGAAGGTTGGTGCTTTGAACCTATCCAGCAGCTCTACAGGACAAGACCTGGTCCTCCTATCTGCCCCATAAAAACTGCAGCCTAGAAACCCTGTGAGACAGCCCTTCTCTGTCACATGGTATCACGACATATTTGAAATTTATTTAATGACACGTAACAACAATAACACTTAAGTATTCACGAAACTCATGAAAACTTGAACAGCCGTGTGTCCAAAATTATAAGGAATATTCTAAGTTTAAAGATGAAAGATTGAATTTTTCAATTATTAAGATGACTTTTCTTTATCATAGTTGAGACTATATAGACAACCATTTTAAATACATTTAGCATATTAAAATTAATATTTAGCATATAAATTTAATAATATTTTATCACCATTATTTAATTTTGCTTTTGAATTTAGCAATGAGTGAAAAGTGCATTATGGCACAAGTCCCTAAGTACCTGTTTACCTTGTTGATGCTGGTAGACCACTTGTTTTGCTCATCTTTGGAATTGAAAGGAGTGTCAAATACACAGAAGCCAGAGTCATCTTGGCCAGATGGTGTTTGATACAGATGGATGGTTAGTTGTCATGCAGATCTCCTACTTGGTAACTTGTTGCTGCCATCTGACTCAAAGAATCATTCACACACACTGGCTGTCAAAAGCATCTTCTCTTCTGTCTGTTTTAGCTGTCATGTCTGTGCTCTGTACAGAAGTGTTGACAAGACATTGCTGTTGTACATTTTCAATTTGGTTGTTAGTGATTTTTATGTTTTGTGGGGTCTTTGATGGTGCTGAAATGTACTTGCTTTGTAATTGTATTGTTTCTTGGTGTTTTTGTTTTCCCCAAAATACTGTGATGGTGTAACAATTATCTGAACTTGTAATAGGATTTTCAGGTTATATATTTATTCAACTGTATTCATTGAACAAAACTTTGTTTATTAAAATGGAAAAAGAAAATATCTTGTTCCATTTAGTTTTCAAACATAGCAAATAAGCTGAATAGTGCTGATTATTGCCCAAAATGATGTAAAAATCTGGTTTGGCCCTATACCTCTCATTGTCTTATACTCAAAATCTTTATACTCTTCCTGAATATGTACTTTTCTTTGATCAAATTACCTTTATTTTCTGACATAAGCTTTTTTTTCCCCGTTTTTTTCGGCTTTTTTTTTTCTTTTTTTTCCTTTTTTTCAAGCTTAATCTGCCTTTGTCTCATTCTTCTGTTGACTTTGACTTTGTCTCCATTTCTCTAGTTTCTTGTATACAAATATAAGCAGAGCCATTTCTTCATCCTTCAGTTCACTGCTGAAGGCATATCTGTTTCTCTGATGATTACTTAACAACTTAGTTAATTTATTTATTCAGGTAATATTTACTGAGCATCTGAATGTGTCAGGCACTCTGCGGCACTCGGTCTTTGAGTTCATAGTCTATAACAGCGGTTCTCAACCTTCCTAATGCCGTGACCCTTTAATACAGTTCCTCATGTTGTGGTGACCCACCAACCATAAAATTATTTTCGTTGCCACTTCACCACTGTAATTTTGTTACTGTTATGAATCGGGCAATCCCTGTGAAAGGGTCATTCGACCCCCAAAGGGGTTGCAACCCACAGGTTGAGAACCGCTGGTGTAGAGGGAGATCAGACTTGGAGACAATTACACTAGAATATTATAATTGTTATAATTCATGTGAAAAATACAGTTATTCTGTTTCCCTTGTTGTACTTCCAGGATATCTGTTTCAAAACTTGTCACAGAATTTACACGCACTTTTAATGGTAGTTTATTAAATGTATTTGTTAAGTAGTTACACTTCAACTTATAGTAGCCCTGGATCTGTTGGTCTTTTTCCCAGCTAATAAATGCATTTCAGCATTATTTATTCTGTTCTATGTGCAGATACGCTAATGTATTAGGTATTTTTTTTAAAGCCAGACTCTAGAAGATGAAAATTAACTGATGGGAGATATCGAAATTGATTCTAACAGAAAATATGTGGTCATTCAATATGTGCATGCATTAAGATGTGAGGGAAACATAGCGAATGGAGAAGGAGTTAAAGCTTGAATAACTTAGGTATCTATTGTGGGCCTGTCTCTAACTTGCTAGGCTTTTTACACTTTATCTTAAGACAGTATCATTAAAATAAGTGAAAGAATTAGTCACTGATTTTATGAAGAACTTTGTATTCTTAGAGAAAGTTCTAAATACACTGAAATAGAGAGTACTCTATTTCTAACATCAACGTGTAACCCAGGTAAATTTAAGGTATTAATAATTCCTAAAGACATTTGGCTTTCTTTTTTCAATCAGCATATATGCTCTAGGGAGTTGGCCATGAATTTATGAAGGAATCAGTGCACGTCCTAGAAAACCAACCCCCTTACTGGACTTTTTATCTTTTAATGTTCTGTTCTGAGACTCATAGTCCTAGGACACATGGTCCAGATGGACTCAAAAGATTAATTCTTGTGTTTGTAGTAATAACATTTGCTTGGATTCTCCCCCTTTCCAACCCATAAGAATACTGAGTATCTTCTATAATGTTATAGGGAAGAATGTTGTTAGCTGACTATAGGGAGTGTGCAAAAATGACATACCACTTGGGTTATTGTATCAGCACTATCAGTTAGTCATGTTTGAAGTATATTATAAAAGATCAACTTATTTAGGACAGTGGGATGTTTTGCTTTAATTTCATAATCTCTTTTTGAAATCTAAGAACAGCTGTATAATTTTTAAAAGATAGTTCAGATTATTGATCTCAGAGAATATTACTTCACCAATTTTGAATTTTAATTAATAAGTTTCTCATCTAAAATCAAATACTCAATAGTTATTGTAATACATTCAGAGGTAAATAGAACCTCATTCCATAGTTTAGGAAATGTGCAGTCTTTTTTTCAGTGATAGAATTCTATTTTTCTAAGTATATGTGCAGTTATTTTTTAAATTTTGTATTAATATGGTTATTGTTATGCCATATTTTTGAATTAGCTGTAAAGTTTACATTTTTTTTTATTTATTACAACAAAATTTCCTAATGCAAATGTGAGTTTTTTTATTGCTTAATGCTCCTAGCTATTATAATAAAGCAGCAAAATGCATGGATTAGTACAACTTTGGGTATTAAGACATACAAAAAAGATTAGCAATAAAATTACTTTGATTTCTTTTTTTACATTTTTATTTCTTAAACAATCTTAAAAGTTTCAGCTCACCATAATCTTGTAATTTTTACTTGCCCCTTCTTCTAGTGTTTAGGTGTAGCTACTTTAGTCTTTTTGTATGCTAGAAATACATTCAGAAGTGGGTCTATTATAAAAATATAAAATCTTAATTTCATTTTGAGTGTGAATGTTTATAGAAGATATTTAATATAGCCTCAGTTTTACTTTTCATGCTTTTCTTTTATTATGAAGGATTAAATTATAACATTGTTTAAATTAAAGTGATTTATATTTTACTTTATAGCTACTTTAAGCATTTTAAGTCACTAATGTTTGTAGTGATTACACATACAAGGCTGGAGCCATTTTTTAGCTCATAAATAAATACTCACCATGTGAGAAATGATAATATGAGCAACCCATAGCTATTTACATTGTTCATTTACATATAATTATTAATGTACAATGAGTGTGTATGTGTGTCAGTAAATACCAGACTAACTGGTTTTTACGCCAGCAGACTGAGAACTATGAGCAGAGAATACGTGAGCAACAGGAACAGCTGTCACTTCAACAAACCATCATCGACAAGTTAAAGTCACAGTTGCTGCTCGTGAATTCTAGTCAAGGTACGTTCATAGGAACTTTTTGTGTATTTCTTAAATCTCTTGGAGGAAAAAAAGGTGGGAATCAAGTTTTTCTGTTTTATTCCTGTTTGCCAACCATTCTGGTATTTTAATAACTATGATATAGTTATCTATTTTGTTTATTTAAGACATGAACACTTTCAGTTTATAGGGAAATGGGCATGCACATACACTATATGGTGTAACTGTAGGTTGATAAAACTTCATAGAAGGCAAATTTACCAGTAAGTATGATAAACTTCTTATAATGTCTGTGCCTTTTGGATAAAAATTTCAGATCTTAATGAATATATTGTAAGAAAATACTTGTTCAAGTATGTAAAAGGTATATATGCAAGGATGCTCCTTAAAGTAGGTAAGCAAAAAATATTAATACTAAATTTTAAATTATTAGCATAAAATACATTCATGATCGATACATAGCAAAGTAAGTAAAGCAGGATACAAAATTAAAGTATTTCATTTCTATTAAAAAATTCTCATTAAAAATATAATTAAATAAAATTCTTGAATTTATATGTATAGGAAAAGAAAACCTTGATAAAATATAAACTAGCATATTAATAGAAGTAATTCACAGGTGATAAAAATTGTGGGTAGCTGTCATATTTTCTCTTTTTTCATGTCTGTGGTCTCTAATTTTCTTACAATGAGCATAGAATAGTTATGCAAATTATTATAAACAAGAAATTAATACTTGAAAATTGGTTTATGTAAAGAAATAATTGTTGCTGGTTACAAAGTTACAAAGAACATGCTTCTTATTTTCCCTAAATTCTATATATTTTACATACTCTGACTTTGGGAGAGTAGGGATTTTGTGTAGTTTAGTAGAAATGGTGGGGGGTGGGAATCTAAATAGACAACTTGTTAAATAACTTACCTAAAGAGTTTGGTTTTTTAACTCATGGTTTAAATATTTCATACTTTAAAATTACAGTTTTCGGCTTATATTCTTTTCATTTTTTTCAGATGGTTCCAAAAACAAGGGTTTCCTATTGATGTCCAAGAGATTTTTGTTTTGCAGATAATAGTTATGGCTTTGTCCCCCTGCTTGAAGACAGTGAAACAAGGAAGAATAATTTGACTCTTGACCAACCACACGATAAAGGGAAATCAGGAATACCGAGAGAGAAAGAATTAAAGGTAGACTGCACCGCCAGGGTAATTCCCTAAAAGAAATGTGAAATCAAGTTCCATAAAATTCCTGAAGTAGTTACTATTCTACCACAGTTTGGGAGAGCAAGTAGGAAGAAAAAAGTAGGCAAGATTCATTTCAGATCTCTGAAATTTCTTCTGCAGGTAGCAAAACACTCCAATGCTTGTACATAACACATTTGCTCATTTTATTTTCCCGAAATGGATCCACCACAGGAATTCTAAACACAAGGTCTATATGTTATGAACGTATGACTTATATATTCCTAAATAGAGGCACTGTCTCCAAGTAAAATAAGGAACTAGGTTTCATATTCCTTGGTGGCCTCTTTTCTGTAATATAAGCGTTTAATACTTATATCCAGTAAGGCAGATAGTAGACAGATGATTTTAGATTAGAAAATGACATTCTTTGGGGGTTTATTTGGTTGGTTGTTTTTTATTTTTTTCACAATTCCTTGTGCAGAATTAAAAAAAAAATCACCTGAACAGCTTAAGCAAAAATCTTCACTGAAGCAAAATACTCATGGAGACATTACACAAGGATGTTCATACTAGATTGGTTAGAAACAACGTAAGCGACTGGTTATGCCTTGGGTTCCTGAGCAGAGGGTCAGTAGTTTGAAACCACTGGATGCTCTGGGAGAAAAAGATGAGGTTCTCTGCTCCTATCAACAGTTACAGCCTCAGAAAGTTCCAGGAGCAGTCTTGCTCTGATTTCAGGGTGGCTATGAGTCAGTATGGACTCAATGGTAATGCGGGGGGGTTTTTTTGTCACTGAAGACAAATGGGTGCATATGCAAATGTGGTGAAGAAAGCTGATGGTGCCCAGCTATCAAAAGATATAGCATCTGGGGTCTTAAAGGCTTGAAGGTAAATAAGCGGCCATCTAACTCAGAAGCAATAAAGTCCACATGAAAGAAGTACACAAGCCTGTGGGGCTATGAGGTGTCAAAGGGATTGGGTATCAGGCATCAAAGAACAAAAAAATCATATTGTGGATCTGTAGGCAACTGGACATCCCCTTACAGAAGGATTGCGGGGAGGAGACTAGCCAGTCAGGGTGCAGTGTAGCAACATTGAAACATACAACTTTCCTCTAGTTCTTAAATGCTTCCTCTTCCCCTCACCCCTACTATCATGATCCCAATTCTGCTTTACAAATCTGGCTAGACCAGAGGATGTACACTGGTACAGATAGGAACTGAAAACGGAATGCAGGACAAATGATCCCTTCAGGACCAGTGTTGAGAGTGGCGATACCCGGAAGGTGGAGGGAAGATGGGATAGAAATGGGAAACCGATTACAAGGATCTACATATAACCTCCTCCCTGGGGGACGGACAACAGAAAAGTGGGTGAAGGGAGACGTAGACAGTGTAAGATATGACAAAACAATAATAATTTATAAATTACCAAGGGTTCATGAGGGAGTGGGGAAGGAGGGGGGAAATGAGCTGATATCAAGGGCTCAAGTAGAAAGCAAATGTTTTGAGAATAATGGCAATAAGTGTACAAACATGCTTGACACAGTGGGTGGCTCTATGGATTGTGGTAAGAGTTGTACAGAAAAAAAAAAGTTGTACGAACGCCCAATTAAATGATTTTTAAAAATCAGCACCCATAGCAAAGGCTTACTGGTAAAGAGAATTAAAAAAAAAAAAAATTGCAACAATGAGAGAACTTGTCTGTCACCTTCTGCTGATCACAGTTGTTGTAAGTTGCTATCCAGCAGGTTCTAAACTCATAACGCGGTGTACAAGAGAACAAAACACTGTCTGATCCTGTACCATGCTCACAATTGTTCTTATGTTTGAGCACATTATTGCATCCATTGTGTCAGTCCATCTTGTTGAGAGCCTTCCTGTTTTTCACTGCCCTTCTACTTTACCAAAAATGATGTCTCCTGACAGCATGTCCAAATTATATAAGATGAAGTCTCACCATCCTTGTCTCTAAGGAGTCTGTGGCTGTAATTCTACCAAGACAGATTTGTTTGTCCTTCTGGCAGTCCATGATACTTTCAATATTCTTCACCAGTACCACAATTCAAATGCAGTTGGTCTTATTCAGTGTCCAACTTTTACAAGCATATGAAGCAATTAAAAATACCATGGCCTGAGTCAAGCACACCTTAATCCCTAAAGTAACATCCTTGCTTTTTAGTACTCCAAAGTGGTCTTGTGCAGTATGTCTTTTGCTCTCTTGAATGCTCCTTCCATGACCATTGATTATGGATCCAAGCAAAACAAATTCCCTGATAGCTTCAACCTTTCCTCCATTTATCACGATGTTAGCTATTGGTCCAGTTGTGAGGAGTTTGGCCTTCTCTACATTGAAGTGTAATTTATACTGAAGGTTTCAGTCCTTCAAGGACATGTAGCTGTTTTCGAAATTTGCTGGCATAGACAAATGCGTGCTTCCAGTGTATCATCAGCTGCAAACATACTTTTGTTATGATCCACACAGTCAGATGCCTTGGCATAGTCATTAAAATCCAAACATCTTTCTGGTATTATCTGCTTTCAGCCAATATCCATCTGACATCAGAAATTATATTCCTTGTTCCGCATCTTCTTCTGAGTCCAGCCTGAACCTCTGGCAGCTCCCTGTCAATGTACTGCTGGAAGATGTTCAGCAATTTTACTTGTACGTAATTTCAATGATACTGTTCTAAAATTTACACATTCTATCGGGTCACCCTTCTTTGGAATGGGTGCAAATACAAATCTCTTCCAGTCAGTTGGACAAGTAGTTGTTTTCTATATTTCTTTAGTTATTTGAGTGCTTCCTCAGCTTGTTGAAACAATTCAATTCATGTTCCATCAATTCAATTCATGTTCCATCAATAATTTAGGCACCAACTATGAAAACTAGTGATGTAGAAATTGAAGATTTCTACCAACTTCTTCAATTTAAAATTGCACAAACATGTAATCAAGATGCATTGATAATTGTTGAGTGATTACAGAGAGATGTTTAAACATCATGTTTGGAATAAACATATCCATGGATAAACTGGAAATCTAATAGCAGTAGTTTTTATTTATCTTGTACTTTATCATTGTAGTCTTTTTTAAAATTAATATATTTCAGGAAATCATATTCTCAGTTAGCCTCGCCTCTGTAATGAGTAAGTTATTGAAAATGCTTTGACCCATAATAGAAGGAAGCTACTACTAGCCACCTAGAGGCCTCTCCTTGTATTTGTTGGTGGCTTTTTCATTTAGGATACTGGAGAATTGGAAAACCTATTCATGGCACAGGATAATAACTGGCTTGGAAAAGAGACAAACTTAAGGAAGCAGATATGTTAAGGAGAAATGACCACATGGGGAAATTTTTCTTAAGCCTGAAACTAGTAGTTCTGCTGCTGTTCAAGAGCATGCCTGAGTCCTTTGCCTCCTAAGGAAACAGGTGAAGAAAATAGTCTCATCTTTGATTAATTCATTAGTTCTCTGCTTATAGCTTATATACTTTATAGGGAAAGTTTTCAGTTGTATGGAAAATCCAAGTTTCCTTTCTTATCTACCAGTGTAGTTTGTACGGTCTTTTTGGTGGAGTAATGACTCTGGGAAAGCGTTCAGGAGAAGCTTAGCTGAGTAGGTTATCTTAGCTCAGGATCTTCTCTTACGAGGTTAACAATTCAAGATGTGAACAGGGGATTCAGTCATCTGAAATTTTGACTGGAGTTGAAGGGTCTGCCTGCGTGTTGATTGACTCCCACAATTTGTGACATGACATGATGACATCATGACATGATGGCTAACTTTCTTCAAGTAAGAGATCCTAGGGAGAGCACCAGGAAAGGTATCCTATGACCCAGTCTGTGAAGTTGCACACCCTCACTTGCATTACATTCGGTTCACTAAAAACAAATCTCTTAAATGCTGTGCCTGAAAAAGCCAAATGCAATGCCATCGAGTCAGTTCCAACTCATGGTGACTCTGTAGAGGGTGTCTGAAACTGGAAATCTTTACAGGAGCAAAAATCCTGATCTTCCTTCCTGGGAGAGGCTGGTGATTTTGAATTGACAACCTTTGGTTAGCCATCCATTGCTTACTTGACAGTGCCATTCGGTCTCCTAAGTAGGATCTCGAGTTAAGTTCTACCTCTTGAAGAAAGAATTAGCAGAGATTTTATAGATACTTAAGAAACATATAGGCATTGTAGATTGCTGTGTACAAAAGAAAGGACAAAATAACATTGGTGGGTGAGACAGTATTTAATTCACCATGTGATGAGTAATGAATTCAACTTCCTGAATCCCATCAATGTGAATCCAAGGAGAAAACAGCATAACCTACCATTTGAGAATTATTTTTAAAATTCTAATATGAATATATACATTCCAGAGGAGAATAATAACTGAACAGTGCTTTTTGGAACCAAGGAAGTCTTGGATGTTGGTTCTAATTCTTTTTTTATAGTTAGTTTTTAAAACTGGAATAAAAATTCAGTTTTATTTATTTTTTAAAGTTTTTTTTTTAAGTACACACATTTATTCTTGACAAAGTATAATTATCTCTCATTTTTGGAATACCAATGTCAGGCATAATAACTTATGTCCATGATAAAAATAAAACACATTGCTATTAAGTCAGTTCCTGGTGTCCTTGGATGGCACAAATGGTTTGAACCTACCCAGCAGAGCTGTGGGGAAAGAGCCTGGCAATCTGCATTCATAAAGACCACAGCCAAGAAACTGTAGGGAGCAGTTCTGCTCTTAATAGATGGTGTCACCATGTCCACGATAGTGGTTATTTAAGTAACAAAGTTTCTGTGTTACTGTGACTATGAATTTGTAGTAATTCACTTTTTAAAAGAAAAGCAAGGTTCTAATGGCTGTTTTAATGACCTTTGAAATAAGATTTTTGTGATACTTCTTTCTGGGAAGTAGTTTATTTGCCAACTAAATACTATATCAGTGTCTAGAGTTGGGCAGAAATTATTCTCATCATTCTGTCACGTTTTTTGTTTTTGTGACT